TTTCCCAAAATTAAAGAAAGACATGCCCATACAAATACAAGAAGCATATAGAACACCAAACAGACAGAACCAGAAAAGAAACTCTCCATGGCACATCATAGTAAAAACACTACACATACAAAACAAAGAGACAATTCTGAAAGCTGCAAAAGAGAAACAACAAGTCACATATAAAGGAAAACACATTAGGATTACAGCTGACTTTTCAGTGCAGACTATGAAAGCCAGAAGAGCCTGGACCAAAGTACTCACAGTTTTAAATAACCACAGATGCCAACCCAGATTACTATACCCAGCCAAAATGTCTATTATAGTCGAAGGGGAAAGAAGAATCTTCCATGATATAAATAGGCTGAAGGAATTCATGTCCTTCTGAGAGTTCTGGGAACAATACAAACACCTGAAGAAAGGAATGACTATACCCAAGGGGTTGTGGAAAAAAATTCAATGAAGGTATAACTGTAGAAAAGTACAGCTACCTCAAGAATGTAAACAGAAATAAAAATGACATGATTCAATACCCATCTTTCATTAATAACTTTAAATATTAACGGACTGAACTTCCTAGTCAAAAGACTCAGACTATGTGACTGGATTAAGAAACAAAACCCATCTTTTTGTTGTCTGCAAGAAACTCATCTCACTTTCAAGGACAGGTGCTACCTTAAGGTGAAAGGATGGAAAAAAATATACCAAGCAAATGGTACTAAGAAAAAAGCAGGCATTGCAAGTCTAATATCTGATAAAATAGACTTTAAACTAAAACTAATCAGAAGACACAAAGAAGGCCACTTCATTCTGATCAAAGGAACAATAGAAACAATAAACAAAGAAAACATTACAATCATGAACATATATTCACCAAACTTTGGCGCACCCAACTTCATAAAAACAATACTACAGGACTTTAAACCCAGATTAATCCCAGCAATACCATATATCAAATGCACTGAACAGACATCTACCGAGTATTCCACCAAAGCACCAAAGGACATACTTTCTACTCAGCACCCCATGGAACTTTTACAAAAATTGACTGCATACTGGGCCACAATATAAGCCTCAACAAATACAAAAATATTGAAATAATTCCATGCAGTCTATCAGACCACAAAGCAATAAAGCTCAAAATCAATACTGGACGAAGCCCTACTTACTACATGAACTCCTGGCGATTGAACAACACACTCCTAAACAACGAATGGGTCAAAGGAGAAATTAAGAAAGAAATAAAAGAATTCCTGGAATTCAATGAAAAATCAAAAAATTGGAAAGAACACGAATAAATGACTTAACACTGCAACTCAACACACTTGAAAAGCAACAGCAAACTAAACGCAAACCAAGCAGACAAGAAGAAATAACGAAAATCAGGGCAGAAATCGATGAAATTGAAACAAAGAAAACAATACAAAGAATTAACAATTCTAAGAGCTGGTTCTCTGAAAAGTTAAACAAGATCGATAGACCCCTAGCCCAGCTAACCAAAAGAAAGAAAGGGCAATTCCAAATCAACAAAATCAGAGAAGAAAGGGGAAACATCACAATAGACACTAGAAAGATACAGAACTTTATAAGGGAATACTTTAAAAACCTATATGCTACTAAATTTGAAAACCTAAAAGAAATGGACGGATATCTAAAGGCATGGGAACCACTAAAACTAAACCAAGAAGAGATTAACAGCTTAAACAGACCCATAACACAAAAA